TTAATCACACCACTTGATTTTACGGCAGAAGTCATAAAACTATTGTTCTTAAAGTTTTTTTTATCTCCTTAAATGATCCAGTAATAAGAGAGTTAAAAAAAGGAGAGTTTTGAGAATTACTCTCCACCTCTTCTATCCTAATGCAGTAACGTACCACACTGTACAGGTATATTTTGTAATAGAAGATTTCATGTGAGGTCCAAACCCTGTCGCTAAATATATTATCACAATCACTTCTGCAAATATCGAATTGAATTGATATAATGATGATTTGTTGGAACTGAATTGTTTTTCATTTTCAAAAGCTTTTACTTTTAAGGGCCAGCTAATAAAAGTATCTTATCGATTCTGAAAATTTTGACGATATTGTTTCCCCGTGTGCCAGAATTTATTTGCTTCGTAGATTATTAACAGTGGAGATTATCACGAATTTCTTGGATATTTTTAAACAGTCGTCGGCCGGAAAGATAACGATATGATAAAACTTTAAACATTCCTTAAAATGTGCAGGTAACGTTCAAAACAGTCGCATGCTCAAGTCCGCTCGTATCGGACTTGCTTTCACAACGAAAGCGGCGGGCGCCATCGCAAATGTCGGTACTTACTGCCTTAAAACGATAACGATCCTCGGGCGAATTTACAACAAAAATATTTTTGGGTGTCGTCGAAAGTTCGTCGCGTAATAGAGTGCTCTCGAATGTGTTATGTAATTTGTAATTGCCTTCTTTATGCTCGGTCAGAAATCTCATTCGGAAACAAATCTGCATGTGATGTTTCCAGACAAAACCAACTTCCGGCAAAAACCGAGGGCCGGACTGGACAGACTTAGTTTCGAAAAAAGAAGAAGTATTTTTGATAAGAAGGTAAAATGTTTTAAACGCCCGCGTTTTTGGGCGAAAAATAATTAAAAAGAAACAAAAGAAAATTACTGTTCGACCAATGTTTAACTTTCGATCACGTACACGTAGTTCACTGACTTTATTTTGCTGCATACTCGAATGTTTTGCAGTCGCATAAACAATTTACAATTTTGTTTTGCAGTTTCTTTAAAACTACGTGCGTCAACTCCATGTTAAAGTTTTTGGTTTTATGCATGGCCTTAAAACCAAGTTTTTTGCTAGACTTTAATATGGGTCGATGACACCAAGATATTGGACAATTAACAGCTCAGGGTCTCAGGTTGTTCTATACCTAATTAATTTTATATTTATTTGGTATTGACCCTAAACATCTTTAAAAAATTGGAACTGACATATGTATGTACTTTTTTGCTTTTTTTCATTTCATTCGTCGGCAGCTGCGCAAACATTTATAAAAATATAATACTTTGTTCATAATTTTCTGTTCGTGTTACCTTTAAATCTTATTTTGATGAACCCTATACTTAAATGAAGTGGCTTCTATAATGTGCTGTGCTTCACCTATTGATTTTATTATTTTTTACATACCTACCTTTTACTGAAATTTATTATTTTATTTCTAGATTAATCTGGACTAGTATTAGACAATATAATAAAATACGTAGACATGCGACGATAACATAGAAATTTCCTTATCTTTTACAATGTGACTTTAATCCAAACCCTTTAATCCTCACCTTTGAAGTAAACAATCCAGATTGGTTATTAATAATCGTCTTACGTTATACTGCAAATCAAAACCATGCGTTTTTTTCATTATATACAATATCAACACGATTATGAAACCCAAAAATATCATATGAAAAAGTTCGTACAATCGATCAAAATCCATTATGATATAGACATTTTCCGCAATATTTTAAAAAGGAAATAGCTATTCAAAACTACAATATGGCGTCCGTAAGAAAAACGGAATTTTTATGCCATATTTCCGGCAATACAAAAGTTATTTTCAGTTTTTTAACCGACTTTTATCAAAATGATCTATCCGCAACATAATCAAACTTAAATGGCAACCGCAAGTTTGTATTGATTCGAATATCTAGCTAGCATTAGCATTTCAGAATTAGTAGGGTTTGCCAGAATCACGGTTTTATCATAACTTGATAAGTTGGGACCACAATCCAATGCGGTGTCTACTAACTTAATGGATCACAAAACTTGTTATAAGGTTCGAGAACAAACCGATAAACCTGTTCGTTGTGAAGGTCATTTACGAAATTTCTCTACTACGTCGGTATATATATTCGTTCAACTTTAAGAAACGGTTACAAATAAAATATTTCATCAAACACAGTCATTTTCAGTCATACAGGTATCTGATCAAATGACCATTAATTGGTTGATCGATCCCAAGGTAGCAATTATTTACAATTAGCAATGATAATGGGGATAAAATCCAGATCTTAACTAGTATGTACTTAAAATGCAAAAAAATCATCAAAGTAGGCCGACTATATCGATATCATTAAGTTGCGACGCCGTGAAAGACACACTGCATTATTTACAAACTAGTTACCAAGTGCGTACGACATAGTTCATATTCAAGGAATTTGAAATTGATTAATTGTGGCAATGCAGAAGGGTAAAGCGAAGCCTGATTTGCCTACCGTAAATATCGTTTTAAACAAAACAGCTCTTGATTTCTCGATAATTACACAAAATTTGCCGTTAAATATCCCAAGCGATTGTTGATTATAAACTTCTCCGTTGCATGGAAACCAGCCTAATTGATGTCACTAAATTGCCAGCCGAATTATTGGTTCTCAAAAAAAGAATGCTCATGTATAATTTGGATTTGGATAAATTGGATTTGAAATAACAGCAATTTCATTAAAAAAATATTAAAAGCACTTTAAAAATTAAGCCACAATGCTAAGAAATTTCGTTTCGTGGGATTCGTTTTTTATAGTGCTATTTAAAAATGTAATAAAATAAAGGGCGTTCCATTTAAAATAAAGTAACCTTATTTGGCCACTCTGTATGTAATTGCGACAATTGAAATAAAAGAAAAAAATAAAGATCACTTTACTGGACAGAACTTTTGTATTCCAATTTTTTTTATAACACTCATAGATTTCAAGGTGGGCCCCTCTCAAACAGCTTAATGTTTCGTAATAGTGGACACTTGTAACACCACTATTACCCTAAGATTCATCAGCATAACATATATACTCGTATATATACATTAAACCAATGCCACGTACTGAATGAGAGTAGGTAATATGGGTAATTAATTAGCACGTTATCTGTTTATTGGGGATTATACACCGTCTGACCAATGTAAATGCTTTTACCGTAAATACAACCGAATAAAAAGGTATTTAAGATTATGTTATCTTTGTCGAGCATAGTTGACGAGCGATAGGAGATAAATAATTCAACAGAAATACTTTTTATCAGTTTAATGTAAACAGTTTATTGTAAGATACCGCGCATCGCAAAACGAGCCGCGTTAATTTTGGTTTTCATTGAAGTAAGTTATGGATAGTTTTGGTTAGCGAATGGACCTAACAAATAATTTGGTAAAAAATATGAGGGGTAAGTTAAAGAAAAAACATTTCGGCCGTCAATTTTTGACAACTATCTTCCCTGTTGCAAAATTTATTGCCAATACCAATAGGTTGTTTAGAGCTGGCAAATTTTATTTAAAATAGAGGTGCAAATATTATCCAGGTAATATCAAGGAAGTTACTAAATTCATCTTACCTTGAAGATGATTGATGGTTTCAAGATAACCCGATTTATACGTAGGTATGCAGGGAATACCCACGCTTTTGGATATTTGTCTATGGAATTTTTGGTAGTATATTTAAAACATTCACATGAAAAATTTACTCGGCGTATGACAATTACAGCTGACATTATTCTGCCAATTGTCTTCATTTGGGATAGCTTGTATGTATATCATGATTTTCCCTTACCAAATCTCATCACAGACGTTGTTATCTGTTTATCACAGCACCACATTCATCTGCTAAACAGAAAGACTTGGTAGGCGAGCGCTAGCCTACTCTTTTTTACTTTACGCAAGAAAAAATTTGTTGATCTTGAATATACGTTACCAACAATCTCTTACCCCTCCCTTATCCCAATCTCGCATAATGTCTATCTAAACTACATTTAGAAATGATCGGGTTAAAGTTTTGACGAAGCAGTGCTATAATAAAAGTGCGGATATGAGAAATTATACCTGCAATAAATTTTTTATAGCATTTCCACCAACTCCATAAAACACAACATCCAATTATTACGCAACAAATTACGTGGGTCTATTTAATGAAACGCAAGCAAGATAGAATGAGAAATGTATTGCGTCCATCCATAAAAGGTTCATTGAGAGGAAGATAATTTATTAAATACAATCGGCTGATTCTCGGTACATAAGCAATTCCCACGAATCCATTAAATTATTAAATTGCTTTTGTTTTTATACGGATGATAATTTCTCTACATTTCGGAAAACAGAAGTCAGTAGTAACTGCATAATGTTATTGCAAGTTTTTGGTACGTGTTGTTTGGCAAAAATGTACGCGAAAAGTAATGGTCGCAGAAAAAGTAGAGATGCAACATTGACTGTAGTGACTTGTTTATTAAACACTCGCTGCGCTGGGCTCCGCTCGTGACTAAAGTAGCGTTTATCAAACTTGGCTATTGAGCTCCGCATTTCACCACAAGGGAGTGCAAATGATAGGATGAATCATGAAATTCAAGATCGAAAATTCTCAAATTAAACTATAACTTTAATACCACTGTTAAAAAACCTGCACCATTCCGTAAAAGTTTTTGATTCTCATGTGGGATCGATCTTAGTATGAGTGGATTCCTGAATGTCTATTATAATTATTTACATCGCTGTATTTTTCAAACGGCTTATCCGAATTCAAAAAAACTCACACGGAATAATTTTGATACAGTCGTACAATAAAACACGTGCAATATATTATCTTCCTTCTATAAAATTAGGGGCACTAACTTGACGGACACTTTAAACGGAGGTGTTATAATGCTCAAGCTTTGGTTATATAAAAAAAATGGAATATCTAGTTTAGATCAATACATTGTGATTTTTTGTTGCAGATGGCTACCGATTTTCAAAATGACAACGCCAATGGAAACGAACCGAACATGCTGACCATAAAAACCATCCCAAGGGCAATAGTGACGACCTCGCAGGTAATTTTTGGAATTTAATAAAACTGTCAAATCGTCGCATAAAAAGTTAGTGGTCGCACCAAGAGAGTCTCTCTGGCACTTCGTGGGCGTTTCAGAAGATAACTTGCAAATGTGGTTTTCCCCTTTGTTGGGAACGGTCATGTCTGCATTTATAAACTTTTTAAACAAAGAAAACTTGTAAAGTCGGGTCAATGTTGCCATTAGGTGCGTCAACATGAATAAATCAAGAGGGCATATTTGTTGCTTTAATCCGTCTGCGCCAGATAAAAAAGTAAACTTGGCACAGACGGTAGATCTTTGTATAAAAAGATTTGCTTATTCTAATGGCAACTCCAAATGTCAGGTATGAATTTAGGTATATAGCTCTATTTAATGAAAATTTACCAAATAAATAAAAAAAAAATACATCTAGAGCAATAGAAGCAAATTTTGTTAACTATTGTTTATCTTAATTTTTACATTAAAATAAGAAATAAGTATCCAAGGAATTTTCGATTAGTGACGGCGAAAGTATTTTCACAGAAAACTAACCAAAGCTTCTGTTATACAATTTAAAGTTACTTTATTAATTTCAAAACAGAAAGTTTCTATAAACGTGGGTTCAAGAACTCCGCCTTTGAGATACGGAATGTTGTTTTTTCTACATAATATTCGAAGTAATATTTTGATTCAAATTACGTGAGTTGGGTTGATCCATAAAATAAAAATAATAATAATGGGTTAAAATAAATAATAATTTATAAAATTTATAGAACTAAAAAAAGGTACAGAAATATCAAATTTTTATATTTTAATTCTCATGCACCTCTATCATTTCATGCCCCAGTGGCTGCTCATAGCAACGTGCACCTTTTTTACGTCTAAATGCTAAATTCAACTAACTTGCATCTTACTGCAAACATAATATTTGAACCAAATCAAAAATATCCCTACCGATCTTACCAGATCTTTTGGAATACACACACATATCTTGCTTATTGGTTAGATTTAATAGCTTGTACCTTGTATTTTAAATACAAGTAATGCCAAAAACCTTTAACAATAAAAAGAAGTGGTGGTTATAGTGTCAAGTTACCACAACCATAATAAAGTGCCAAATAAGCGTCTCGTTTCAAAAACGTCTTGTGGACAGACATACTTAATATATAATAATTATATATATATATATATATATATATATATATATATATATATATATATATATATATATATATATATATATATATATATATATATATATATATATATATATATATATATATATATATATATAAAATAATAACAATAGAAAAAAGAATTTTTTTTGTAGAATCAAGGGCCATTTATCGTTAACTAATATTCGTAATGGTACAACCTACGTACTAAGAACAAAGCAAAATTACATATATAAACGACTGTAAACGATTTAGTTTTATTTTAATTCGACGACTCGGCTGTTGTTTCAAGAATTAAGATTTTCATTCAGTTCTGGCGTAAAGTTATTCATTCTGAAAATTTATTATTAAAAGAAAACTGGCGCCAACGGTGATTCACTTGGACTTTCCGGAAAAACTTGTAATATATTTTAATTCAAGCGAGATTATTGGCACACATTTTATAAATAGTTTGAGATTTTTCTGAGGTTAATTGGTTATTATGAAGTCAACATTTTCTATATGTGTCTACAGGGTGAGTTGGTGAGTGGCCCGGTTTATATAACACAGATTTATTTGATTTAAAAAATAACATTTTCATTTATAAATATCACAGTTTCTCACATATTTTGTTGAAGCTTGGTATATACAATAATTTGCTAAATGTACGCCTATGGTTTCAACATTTATTTCGTTTAATGATAAACCCGTTTGCATAATTTTCTCACTTGCATAATAAAGAATAATAGTAATAAATAAAAACAATTACATACGATACACAATACAATTATAAACTGAATTATTTTAAGACAAAATGAATTTGTGTGTCTACCTCCTTCGTTAATCCTTATACGAATAATGTCAGAGATGTCTTTAACTTTCATAAAAATGCAAAATAATGTTCGTACCTTGCTATATCTGGACTAAGAAGAAAAAAAAAAGATTCTTAGTAGATATTTTTAGTGGTCTTTGTTTTGTCTTTAACATTTAAAGAAAGTAAGCTTATCTTTTATGCTTAAGAATTTCTTATTAAAAAGAAACAAAGAAAAAATTATGCAATTAATAAATGAATAATTTTAAGACTATAGGCGTAAATGGGGATATTTGGGAGAGCAATTGGGTAGACAAAACCTCTTTTTCTTCTATAGTAAGCATTATTTACTTACAAAATTTACTTGGCAAAAGGTACTTCACCTTACAGAAAATATGTATAAAACTGCGAACTGTTTGAACTTGCGAACTTGAACGCCCCGTATGATAAAAGCCAGATGCGGAAATAAGAAATCTCATAAAGTCCCAATATTTTCACCGAACTTTTCGACTCACCCTGTATATTCCACTTCATTAACAACATACCGCTGCAGTTTTAAGCCTGAATTTATTATTAATTTAACCATAATTTCTTGATAGATTACAACATATTTGCCATGCTGTTCTGTTTTCTTCGTCAATTCTGTACAGAAAGTATGCTCTTATAATTATTGGCGGTAGATCATATAAATGATATGTAATACATATGTGATAGATGTGCGAGAATATATATCAGTATATTTCACGTTTGGCAAAACGAGACGTAGGAATTTGCTAAAAAATGTATCGATCTAATTTTCCTAAAAAGTGGAGAAATTTTGTTGGTTAATCTTTATTAAGAAGTAAGTTCAGACTGACCGATATTTTATAATTAGATTTAATTGATATTTGTGTACATTCGGCGATAGAAAATCTATGAGACATTTTAACTAGAAAAAACAACTTAAAAACTCAGAATCTAGAACTGATTCGCAATAGATAATAAAATTCTTGATACAAATTCCGTTCTAGTTTCGGGTAATTTATTAGTCCTCAAACAGTTGCCAAAAGCCAAACTGACTACATATGCATTCCACTTCGCTGTGTTATTCGAAAGTACTATAAGATCGAAATTCTACAGTTGCGCAATAAAATTCCATATCGATGAAAATTTGGAAAAACGAACCAAACACTTTTACGAATAAATACGATTTTGTCGCTTTGTACGCTTTCCCTACCTGGCATCGTTCCAGCAAATATTTGGCCTTTTAAAATTTCCAAAAATAAACTCAAAGATTCACCTAAATAAAAATAACAACAGTGACTTATCGCGGGACCTTTTAAATTCTAGTTGCAGAGCAATTCCCAGACCAGTTCGACTACGACGCGTGTCAAATCTTCGACCTCTTCGACTACGACTTCAACGCAGAGGGTGCACCTATCCTCTAGCTCCGACTTGAAGGCATCTAATATGAAATCAGACCTCGTGGACTTCAAGAACAATTTAAACGACATGAAAAGCAGTATTTCCGCAATCGACATTAAAAAATTAAGAAGCTCACTGGAGAACTTGGTAGACAAGGACGACGATGACATGACGAATATCTCGCAGCCTTTGGTGACTTTCCCTGACGATACCCCTGTCCCTTCCGAAATCGGTTCACCAACGAATACCGTGGAGAGCCTCAAGTTCGAACAGAAGACTACAAATAATTTTAAGAAAACAAAAGTAAGTATTTTTGCAGGATGCCGTTAACATTTATATGTTACGTGATTTGTGAATGGATCAACGAAATAACCATAAGGACTTTATTGCAATCGAGAAATTTTAAGTCACAAGTTTGAACACTTTATGATTTATATTGATCATGCGCTGTAGTGCAGAAATAACATTTCGTCTATTCGTCTTATAAAGCCTGCCTTAATTTCTTTACAATGTGAATAATAAAATATGGATAGGCTTCTCAAAATAGTGTGGGAATTGGACGACTTCATTACCCTTACCTATTTGACTAATTTATGGATTACACGTTGGTAGGTTTGCCTGCATGATGGACAAAAAATTACTCATCGGTTTTTATTGAGCGTTTAATAACTTAACCGTTATAGAGCAACAGATAATACTATAAATTATAATAAGAAGACTTGTTCAATAAATGAGGTGGCAAATGTTGGTCTTGGAGTAATCCAGGCAGTTTCGTACTTCTAAACGATTAACTATTTTATTTATAATTTTTTAACCTTACCCTGGTGATAACTTGTGCAACACCCTGTTTATTAATTCTGGAAATCTAAAAAGGGGGATTTTACCATTTGGTACAAGACCGTTTAATCTATATTTTAGAATGCATGTGCAAATAAGGAATTCGCTTACAAAGTCTTTTCTTCTCCTTAGTTATTTAGGTCGAAATCTTTGACATCGTGACCAATTGTAAATCTTGCGTATTTTTTGTACCTTTTCGGTATTTTTACTGAGTTTTGGGCTGAAAATTAACAAGCTATGATTTTTTAAAAGAGCTATTTACATGTGTGACAAAAAAAACTCAATTTGAATGCCTTCCTAAAAAAGGCTCTTCTCCTTTAATCGAGTTATTCTTAAGATATAGTAAAATTGAGTTTCGGTTTGTGGTAAAACGCGTTATTGTGTGTTAGTGCAGTGCCGAAGGTTCCAGTCAAGAGTTTGATTAGTTAAAATTAATTTATTTTTTGATTTTTTTCGAACATTTTAAAAATATCCAAAGTTCTTTTTATTGATTTTATTAAAAAATGGTTTTTGTAATTTTGCGTTTACAGTATTCTTGTCATCGTCATCAAGAGCTATTATCATGAAGAGCAATTATTCCTTATTATTTAAGCACTGTGGCTCAGTGCAATTTACAACCATTAACAGTGAAGGTCGCTCTGAAGGAACAATGAAAAAACCGCCTTCCATATTTTGCCGCAAAACAAAAGGATTTCCATTAAAAAATCACGATCCGATGTCAAGATTTATTTATTGCTGTAATAAAACATTGCATTGTCTCCCGTTTGTCGGGGTTTAGCCTCCGCAGCGAAATATATAGTTACTCGTTACGTAACTGGTGCCGCGAATACTAAACGCAACCGACTCTACTTGTTCTGAATAAAATTTATGGTTTCCGAGGAGGTCAGCGCGGTTCACTGAACACTCATATTTCAGTTTGATTTGCACAAACGACAAAAACAAATGATACCCATACATAGTTTAATTTGGGATGAGTATTCGAAATGACTTCGTGAATTATTTTTATTTAAATGACAATATTTATCTTAATTGCAGGTAATTAAAGATGGAATCAGCGCGGAGAAGGAAAGTGCAAAAGTTGCCGAAATGAAGAAGATTCAAGCGGGCGACATGACGTACGAGGAAAACAGTGCCGCGGCAGCTACCAAGGCAAGACTGGAGATGGACGGGATATCCGCCGAAAAAAGTCAAATTAAAGCTAAAGTAAGTGAATATCAAACAACTCTCAACTGAGGAAACACCATGGACTCAATTTTTTCCCTTATTTTGCGCCCTACAATAAAAACTGTTAAATCAAAAACCCGCACCATATAAGCAGTATCAATATAATATTATTTTCAAACTTCAATTATCAATCCGATGATAGAGATAGTTGGAAACAATGAATTCTAAAGATTTGTTTATGAATTTCACTTGGTTTCGTTAAAGTATTTTTTCTCCTCCCTGGACTAGAATAGGGCTGCATGAATTAATCCCTACCATTTGAGGACGACAACGACAAGCAAGGTTGAACTTTTCCTAATTAAAGTATATTATGACATGTTGGGATTCGCTGATATTTGTTACTGTCCTTGTTGTGTGTTATTTAAAAGTTCGTTTTCTTATTTAATTTAAACATTTAATTATTTCATCGGATTCAGAAAGCTCAGCAAAGGAACCACTCAAGAAACCATGTTTAAAACACAACCGATATCTTTATTCGTTCCGGAGTATGAAGGAAGCATCTATTAAAACAACTAGGGTTGTGGAATTGACCGGTCAATTTTTTTTGTGTCAATTGACCAACAAACAATATATTGTGTGTGTATTCTAACAGTGGGATGTGATAATATTACTCCCCTTTTGTCGAAAAAATTTGGACATTAACATTTTTCCAGTAATTTCTTGTAGTGGATAGCCGGCAAAATTCCGTACTTATTATCTGTTATAATCCGCTCATTTCCTGAAAATATACCGTTTCCCAAAAATCCTACCGTCGATATGAGCGAAGCAGTAAAAGATCAAGCACGCCAAAAATCAAACGATATATGAAAAACAAACAATTCCAAAAAATTTATTTACACTTTCGAAATTCTCATGAACCGCAGGCAATTAAAGAAGTGTTAAAAACGACATGCCTTTCCATTATTAGATATGCGCGTAGGATCAGGCGGGTTTACGCTTGTGGCATCTATTTAGATGGGTTTATAATTCCGGATGATTTTTTCCGGCACGAGTGTGAAGGTGTCTGCTAGATAAACAAATACATGTAGAGGCCTTGACAGTTGAATTTGGCGATTTCATTCGAGTGGGAAGTAGGTAATTTGTGTGTTGTTTTAACTAGCTGGTAATAATCTTTGAATATTTATTTCGATTTTTTCTTCTACTCTCTAATTTCAAATAGTGTCTATTTTAACCGTCAGCTTCATTAAACGCTGTCGCGAATCATTTCGAAGGTTTTCGGCACTTTCGGTTAGGAGCGTTTCCGACCGTTAGGTCTTGTACAGTGGTACTGAAAACTAATACAAAATAAACTACAATTAAAAACAACTCTGACTTTGAAAGAAAAAATAATGCTTATAGAATGTTATGATATTGAATCTCTCTTGCTCGTTAATAATCTTAGAACCACGTTAACCCGCCCTTGTTCAGATTCATTAACTTCGTTGTGTCGATTTTTAAATTATACCTAACTGCGGTAAGATTTAATTTGAAAACTTTTTAGCCTTTTGAATGTCTTTGTAAACTGTACACAAAAAATGTAGAGATAAATGAGAAAATTACCTAATTATTTGGAATAAAACCTTTGCTTTATTGCATGTTAAACGTTCAAAACAAAATAATAAGAATATCATTAACCCGTGGAACCTTTGTTTCCGAGATGCAAAGTGTAAAAAGTTTAAAGATTTTTTGTTTTTTTGCGTCTCCTCCCACAATTTTGCTAACAATGAATTGAAATTTGGTACGAGTAGTCAAATTGGCAAACCGTTTCTCAATGATACTCAGTTTAACCCCTTCGAACTGTTTTTGTTGCATATAAATTATTTTTCACGAGTATCGAAATCGATACAGCTTACAAAATAAATATTTTACAGAATCCACAAAAACTTGGACGCCTTATAACTTTATAAGTGATCGGTGAATAATTGGACATTTTGGAGTTAGGATTTTTCTTTCAAAATAAGTTTTCCTATTTATCTTATTTAAAAATCGAACGAATGAACTTGATTTTGTGTCACCAGGTATTTATATCAGACACGCCTGAAAAAAGGAGTGTTGAGTGTGTTTGCCCGGTTGGCCTGAATAATGTTCGCGCAAGGGTCTCGCAACAATAACAAATACACACAGGTCAAGGATTCCGCCTCATATTCCTGGCAGCGACGACTGTGGCGTGATTTTTGTTCTTTGCACGACACGAACCGTTTTTATTTTCCCCGTTTTAATGGGCCTGTAATTATTTTTTTCTACGTAAATTCATTTCCAAGAACTCTGGTATTTTATTATCGCTGAAATTTGCGAACGCGTTAGCTAGCCGAGAAATAGGTATGGTCTGTTCATAGATGTAACATAGTGACTAATTGCTTTTGAATGGGATTATCCAAGGGTGGTCATTAACATACAATGCAACAAGATTATTACCTAGAGTTTCGGAATTTAAATTCAGATCTGTGTTTAATATTTTTGGTTTGGTATACTACTTAGTTTAAGTTTATTAGTAATCATTCTTACTTCGTGTAGTCTAGTCTAGTCTAGTCTAGTTTATCTCAGGAGATGCTCCCACCCAAATGTAGAAAACACTATTCTATTGAGACTCAGGAAGTTATAAACAATGTTTATTTGAATCTGGTGCCAGCAAGCAAGCATCTTTAGAAGAAACGGCCACATTGACGAAAATTCGAACATCAACTGTATGGAAAATTGTGAATAATCCCATTTCAGCGAGGAAAAAAAGAAGCGATGCTGGGCACTTTCTCCAGTGTAGATGAAAATGATCAAGATATAATACGGCGTAAAATTTACCAGTTATACGAGGAACAAAGCGTGCCTACATTAGATATCTTAATTAGGAGGTTTGAAAAAGATGAAACCGGTGTTAAATGTGTGAATTACCTTATGGAAGTGTATTCAACACATGGGTTTTAGATTTAACAAAATTGACAAAAGGCAAGTTTTAATGGAACCTTTTAGAATTCGGAAATGGCGACTGGAATATCTAGATAAAATTAGGATTTACAGAGAACAACAAAGGCCAATTATTTACTTGGATGAAACCTGGTTTGAAACTTATAATACCCCGGAAAAGGGTAGGGTTGACTCAAGCGATAAGTGTAAAACAAACGCGCCATCAAAAAGTTGTAAAAGAATAACTATTTTGCATGCTGGCTCTAAAGATGGTTGGCTCCCAAATTGACTTTCTATGTCTGCGAAAAATATTAAAGATTCTTCTCTGGATTACCATGAAGACACCATCGCTGATTTATTTGAAAGTTGGTTTAAAAACAAACTAGTTCCAAACATTCCTCCTAATAGCGTAATTGTAATGGACAATGCAAGTTATCACAGTAGACTAGTAGACGGTTGACTAAAACCCCTTCCTTATGTGACACAAAAGCAACAATTCAAAATTACGTATATAATAACGACATTTATTTTCACGAAGATTATACCAAAAGGCAATTAATTGAGGTTCTACAAAGCTTGAACCTACAAAAGGAATACGTCTGTTATAATTATGCAAAAAATCTAGGACATACAGTTTTAAGACTTCCACCTTACCACTGTATATTTAATCCCATTGAACATGTTTGGCACCAAATGAAATCTGCCATTCGTCGTAACAATGTTTTTCCCCGTGTTAATTCCAATGTCCTCAAACTTATAGAAACCGAAGTTTTTAACTTCACTTCACAAAGTTGGGCAAATTCTGTTAAATATATAGAAAAAGCAGAACAATCCATATTGCAAATAATATAGAACAAATTATAATTAGAACAGTCGATGATAGCGATAGTGATACTGATATATTATGTGAAGAATTTTAAGTAATTTAAGTAGGCAATAAAAATAATTTGTAATTTTACTTTAGATTTAAACATAAATACATACATAAATAAATAAATATTTTTTAATATTTTTCCTAACAAGACCCCAAAAATTTAATTCTAAGCAAAGTACGGACCTGTTCGGCCATATTTCATTCTTACAGCTTGCCCGGGTCTTTCCTTAATTCGTAAAATTATATTAGAAATTTAATGTTTTTTTTTTTTTAATTTCACGTTAAGGAGTAATAACCGTCAATTTTGAATACCTTGGAAAATATCTTCCAGTTACGAGATAGAATTAGTTTAAAGCAGTTTGAAAACATTCTCTCGGTTATTTGATTCGTTCATAAGAACTTTCGAATTAACCATGTCGCTAAAAAGAAAACGTTTATCATTAACAGAAAAACTGAGTATAATCGTAGAAAGTGAAAAGTATTCATTGAGTTCGCGAAAGTTAGCCGAAAAATTTAGTGTTGGAAAAACGCAAATCAACGAAATTTTGAAAAATAAAGTTGAATTAAAAAAGACGGTCGAGGAAGCGAAAAGCGAAAATTTCCAAAGTCCAATTGGCACTGGATCAAGGCGTTTACAGTTGGTTTTGCGAGGCAAGAAATAAAGCCATTCCAATATCTGGGCCGCTGCTCAAACAAAAAGCACTGGAGGCAGCAGGCAGTTTGAAGATGGAAAATTTCACAGCATCAAATGAATGGTTGGAAAGTTCCTGCCGGCGACACAATATAACTTTGTGGTTTGTGGTGATTAATAATGATTTTATTTGTGAAATGCAAAACCTGATAATAACTACGTGTTTTCGATAACAGTTGGGCGTAACAACATTAATATTGATCGTTTTTTCGGCGATAATAATATACACATTCTACGAGTAAGGATAGTAGGTCCACAATCAACCAACAACCATTTAAAGTATGGAATAGAAAAAGAATATTTTATTTTTACATTTTGAATATCTGAAGCCTTCTATTGATGTTCTATTGATGTTCTCCATACAGTTTTTTCAATGGATACAGATAGTATATAACATTAGAATCATTCTACTAATATTAATAGAATATTTCGTAAACGGTTAATTTATGACAGATATTTGCTATTTGCAATCCCTAGGAAAAAAAAATAAAAGAATACATATTTAAAAATATGTATTTTATGTACTCTACTTTGGAT